TCTTTGCTTATTTGATCACAGAAAAAAAGGAATCCTTGATTCAAGTATATTTTTATTTTTGAACGCTATTTGATTGATTTAAGCATAGAATGCTCTTTATAATCAAAAATTTTCATTTGCCTTAATAATAAATAAGTTTGTGTGAAGTATATTTTATCCTTAAGATATATTCTTGTTTGAAAAATCGCGGATATGGTAAAAACAAACTTAGTCACATTTGAACTAAGAATTATTATATATACTTGAAAGTACCGCTTATATTCGATGCTCACTTGTCCTTGCAATATTTATAAGTAAATTTCAGCTTCAACCAAGAATATTATGCACTTTGTTTTAAGGATAAATTATCCTTTATCCAAAATTATTTATATTTGGCGCTATTATGAGGATAAAATATACTTGAATCAAGGCATATTTGCATTCTTTCAAGGATACTGTTTTTTCTGTGATCTCTATTCGATTCGGAAAATATTCGTCGCGATTTGGGACGCGATTCGGCTCGAATCGCAACGAGTTCACCGAGTTTCCCGAGCTCATCCCGCTCATCGAGCATGGCGAAGTTGCCACTTCAGCGAGCTTTCGTTCGAAACGGAAATGGCAGGCTGCAATTATTGCAGCCGTTGGCTTGACTTTCCCCCGTGTCTGCTACGGCCGCGAGTGCATATAAACCGCCGCCGGTCGATTAACTGCGACCTTCGCCGCAACGTTGATGCAAATAGACGACATATCCGCAACGTGCCCGCCTCGGGTCTTCGTATACGACAATTTTGCTCCGCGACTTTCCTCTTCCTTTCATATATACCTATACGGATGATGAGCCTCTTTGGGGAGATAATCGTTTCTCGGAGGGTCACTCCTTTTTGCGGAAACGTAATCGAAATGAGAGGTTTCGAGAATGGGGAGGCTAAATATCGTATTAAATTAAATATCTTTCCTTTTGCATTTTTATTCGAAAAAAAAAAACAAGGCGAGAAAAGAGGCACGAAGTCGCTGCTCTCTGTCTCGCTCGAGAAGATCGGCGAACGAAAGTTGTATGCAACGGAGCTGCATGCTCCGCTTGCATCATCGGCAATTGCGTGATATTCGAGCGCGAATTTTAGCGCGTAACGCGGATTAATTATTATTCCATAATCGAACGATATTAATTATCGCGCGCATTCGCTGCGATAACTCTTATTATAATCGCCCGTAATAGACGTAATTAATCATTGTCACTTCGGAAAGATAATTGGATCTGCCGCGAGACGAGCGAAGAGGAGAAGGATATGCAAAGAGCAGCCGTGTTTAGCCTTTCGTTAAAGAATTTTTATTTTTATTACGTCGGAATATTTTGTGTATCCCACTGCTCATTTTATGCAAAATAAAATATACGTAAAATTAAAAAAAAAAAAAAGGAAGTCGTTTATTATGCGATCGGAGAAATTTTGATGTATATAACGAGCGCAAAGCGGAGCGCTCGTTAATAAGCGAAGCAATTTTCGAGGAATAGCGACGCGACGGTACGTGGGGGTCTCTTCGCAACAGGATCTCAAACTCGAATCGATCTCGAGTACAGATACCGCGGGCGATATCTGCGTGCATGCTGGCCGAGGATGCTGAGAAAAATTCGCGACGCGTCGCGTCGAGGTATAAAACAAAGGGGATGCGTCCGTCCGTCTGTTCTCTCTCTCTCTCTCGCAAACGAGTTTCGCAGTCAATTATAAATTACCTCGAATTAAATCGATGATCATCACCGCGGCCGCGACTGTTGCGGCGGACCTTGGCGAAAACTTTCCCGCTGAATTTTTACGATCACATATGCGCAAAGTCTTTTTACGGCGATGCGCGTAATTGCAACGTGGCGAAGGGAGTGATAAACAACGCTCGAGGCTGTATTATAAGACAGTAAGGGCGGGCTGGTTCCATCCCGCTCGGTTTTCACTCGCTCGTGCGCGTTGGTTAATATTTATCGGCATGCTTAATTGCCGCCCGAGACGAAACTACTCTCAACCTCGAAACCTGGGTACCGGTTATTTTTTTTTTGTCGCGATGCCTTTTCTGACGCATCGAAATTGCACGTCCTATAGTTTAGTGCTGACAATGAATTATTCAAAATTCCCATTTATATAAATAGAAACGTCAAGAGTCTTGTTATTCATTCCTTAGAAAAGAGTATATTATTTATTTTAGATGACAAAAGTATTTTTTTTTTTTTCGAGAGGAAAATGGTTTTTAAAAAAGCGTAATATTACATGGTTTTTTAATGAGATTTATCAATAAATTTATTTAGTCAAGCAAGAGTATTAATATCAATTTGATCAACTTTTATTCTCAATGATTTTTTAATTTTAAGAATATTTCAAAAAATTTGTCGACGAAATTATATACTTTTCACATCATAATCTTTGTGTATGTTTAATTTTCTTATTATTCCGGAATTTCTCTACACTCTCGCGAAGCGTTGTCGGTTCTGGCCTCTTTCAACATCCGCGCGCGGTCAGAGAATTATGAGCCTTCAGACTGATTATTAAGTCCCGAAGATTTAAGGTAGTGCTTTAAATACTCGGGTAGTACCATTAAATTCACATTCTGTAATGAAAAAGCGCGCCGATATCGTTGTTCTCGCCGTTTTAATACTCGCCTACGCGACCCGTTAGGCCCCGAGGACGTTAACCCACTAACTGGGAGATTATTTCTTTTTATCTGCGCAGTGTTGTGTATGGAATCACATCAGTTGTGCTCGTAACCGTGACCGTGATTATCATATTTTGTGATTTCGGATGTGGTTTCGACCCCGAAATTTATGGCCCCTTTTTACGATTGCATGACATCGAATATTTTACGAACATTTGAAAGAATATTGATTTATGCGCCAATAAAAAATTAGCCAACAGAGGAACATAAACCTCTCGCGATTGAAGATTGCCGCGTTAAACGATCATTATTTCTGTACCATTCAATTAAAAATATTCAAAATTATTAATTCACACGACTATTGAGCAACGCAGCAATTCTAAACAATCTCTAAAAATCAGATTGCACATTACGCGTATATTTGAATATTCAATCATGATGTAAACTTTCTTCTCTCGAGAACGATTCTCTTTCTCAACGTAGGATCATTATTTTTGTACCATTCAATTAAAAATATTCAAAATTATTAATTCACACGACTATTGAGCAACGCAGCAATTCTAAACAATCTCTAAAAATCAGATTGCACATTACGCGTATATATTTGAATATTCAATCATGATGTAAACTTTCTTCTCTCGAGAACGATTCTCTTTTTCAACGTAGGATCATTATTTTTGTACCATTCAATTAAAAATATTCAAAATTATTAATTCACACGACTATTGAGCAACGCAGCAATTCTAAACAATCTCTAAAAATCAGATTGCACATTACGCGTATATTTGAATATTCAATCATGATGTAAACTTTCTTCTCTCGAGAACGATTCTCTTTCTCAACGCAGGAGAAACCGAAGAAATAGCTTAATGAGCATAATAAATTACCGGTTTACAAATATAACGATCGCGAGCTTATAATATCGATAGTATTTTCTAAACCGGTATGCGGTGCATCGGGAGAGAGAATCGGCGGGCGATCCGCCGCATATTCTGCATCGCCAATTTGCATGACCGATGATCGGGCCGCTACTATACGCCAGTGACTAGGTGCATCATCATTACGCACTACCGAGATACGATCAAACTGTCCGTAATAACAGTCGCACGACCTCGCGCGCGTACACGAGAGAGAGAGAGAGAGAGAGAGCAGGGTCGCGTTTATTAAATTACGTCAAATTATTGGTACGCGTCGTGGGTATCCGGCAGAGGCCTCAACATAGAATAAGCCACGGCCTCGCCGGTTATGTTTAACAGCGAGCAATCACGCTACTTTCCCAATTAGGCCGCTAATTTTAACGGGGAGCGTGTAATTGCCGCGTGGAGTCAAATTCTCCTGCAGCGCATTGCACTTTCCCAGACCGCTTAATCGCGGGTCAATGGCTAATGCACATGAGCGATATGGAATTAAGTTATCTCATTGTGTTTCAATTATGAAGATTGATACGCTGCTTTATAAAAGCGCGTCTTAAAGTTGTACCTTTTTTTTTTTGAGATTTTTATCTGGAATGAAGGATATTGAAAGAGCGCAAAATAATTAATATTTTTTAGAATTATTATTGTGACGATGCGTACAATAATGAGCAGATGTAATAACTTGTGATAAATTCTAAAGATTTTTTTTTAATAAACTAAACTTCACATAATTTATGTGATATAAAAAATATTTTTGTCTCTAATATTTCTCTCGCGTTAAAATATAACAATTAAAAGAATTTGATTATTGAAGCATTCGCATGTTAAAGTATAAAATTCCATTTTAAATATGTCACTCGCCTCTTATACGTCCTTCGGACGAGAGAGAAATTCAAGATATACATATAACAACTATAAATACGAATCTAACTTATCGCCGAGGCACGTCACTTTCAATTAACGAGTAAAAAATACCCCAGAGTATAATTTCTATTTATTCATCACAAGGTAACACAACGTGTATGCGTATATCGCATTTCATTACTGCCAGCACGATGGCTGTTCATCAACGATCAAGATTGAAAAGGGGAATAAAGTCTGTGAAGTTTCATGTTTCCCAGTGACGCGGATTCACACGCGTCATAAAATATCTCTCATACTTAAATGTACTTAAAAGGTTTCTTCCAATTAACATAAAAGAATAATTATTTTGTTGTTTAATAAAATTTTACTTAATTATAAGCGATTATTTTTGCCAAACACATTTTATAGATTAAGTTATAAATATTGTTATATAATATATATATCCGACTTTATATACATAAAAAAGCTGATTTTCTAAATTATGAATTTAACTTTCCATTATTCTGAAAATTTTATATCAGTGTTTTTATTAATTATATTAATTACAATAATTATTATTATATTTCAAATAGATGTAATGTATATGTGTTGCTTTACCTCTGCTTACAGATTCGATCGACGAAGGGCTGAAGAAGGCAAAGAGCCGCAGAAATTTCCGACGTCGTTTGATTAATCAAAATTTGCAAGAAGAATTCAAGGAGGAAGAAAGAAAGAAGAACGGGGAGTATTTCGCCATTCTTTCAGCGTTAATTAAATCGCAGTCGCGAAAGCCATTCAAACTCGTCGTCCGACACTCATATACACACATATTCACATGCTCTATTCATTCACACACTTAACATACACGTACACGACACATATGGACCCAAAAGCCTGATTAACACCGCGTACTTCCTGTGATCGTCGATTAATGATAAGCGGAATAATCAAAAATAGCGACGCAGCGAAAAGAGGATATGTTCAGGTCACGTACGAACAGAAACGTGAATTTACTGTAATGCTCTTGTAAGAAAAAAGACGATGCCGTATTTCAAAGAGTATCGAGATCGATAGATGCGACGAGGCGAAGTGGAAGCCAATATTTTATACGATCCCAAATAATCGATCTGCTGGTATGTATATATTTACATATATATCATTTTGTCTATATGAACACCATTTATTCTCAAATTCTTTCATGACATTTTTTTTTATAAAAACATGATCATGTGAATATTTTTCTGTGAAAAATGGATTCGAGACTATAGTATGATCAAAAAGTCTATACGATGAAAATGTATCACTATTTTATGTGTAATTTTTTTCATCTCGTCATATCAGAAAAAAGGATCTCCTTAAATTTTGAAAAAGAAAGATGAACAATATCTACTACACATTTACAATTTAATTTTGTGACAAAACAAATTTCTCGGTCAATAATATAATTAAATTAGATAAGAAGAAATTGATATCTCGAATAAAATAAATTTTAAGCTAAAGTACAATAAAATAAATTTGCCCTATCGAAGATTTTTAAATATATATTATCGAGAAACTCTTATCGAGGTTTTAAATTTTCATTATTGATAAATGACAGTCTTCGATAACGATATACGTGCAATAATGTTAGAATATCGATAGTGACTTTCAATCTTGAATTCATATACGCGATGTATACATAAAAGATAGAGAGGCCTTAATTTATCGCCGAGCCATATTCTCGTTACTCTTTGCTATCGGTTGAGGATGGGAACCGGAAAGTCGCGAGGAGAGAGGAGTTTCGAATCTACATGCTGGAATCGCGCGTTTTCCGGAGAGCTACACGAAATACGCGTATACGCGTATCGCGACAATCATCGCCTCCGTTAACGCAAGTAGTAGATTCTTTCTATAAAGAGACGCGCGGCGCCGTCAGAAAGCTGACGCGACCGCGTAGTTAAGGATACGAATGCCATAATAATGACCAAGTTTTGTGGTTGTACTTAAGTCATATTTTATACTCTACTTTATTACTTAGGATGCTCTAAGCGTAAGTTTTATATTCCATTAGCGAAGTGTGTCTATCACAGTTATTGCTATAATTTTTTTTATTTCGCATCGTTGAATTAAACGACGAATTGACTCCGTTTTGCGTCAGTTGTCAATTGGCGCAAGCTATGAAAACTTTGCAATACTGCCTTACCTGCACTTGTGATCGTACACTTAACTTGAATTTAAGCTGAATGCTCGTAATCTGGACACCCCGACATTTCAATTTACAGTGACTTACGGAGAAATAAATTTCACCCTGATTTTATGTCGTCTTGACAAACAAATTTACAATTTTTATTTTAAAATATTGATAAATTGAATAACATTTTTTTTCTTATTTGATGTTAAGATACGCAAAGATTAAAACAAGAATAAATTGTGCTTTTCTGCATTGTTTGAAAATAATTGATTAAACGTTCTGGAAATATCTTTTATAATCTGAGCACTCAGTTGTTTTCCATTTTATACGTCAAAGAGAGAGAGAAAGAATGTGTCTTGATTTTCTTGTTTTTTTTTAGAGTCATGATTTTTTAATATCATTGTATACTAAAATAGTAACTTTTCGGATACTTGACAAAATTATATCCGCGGTACATAAAAATTATATATACTGCACTTACTTTTATCTTCCCCAGTGTTAGAGAAGCCATCGATGAATATCACCTGTGCGATCGTATGGATGAAAAGAAATAAACTTATATTGAAAATCAGGTGCGAGACCGCCTTTCGGTTGATGGTCCCGATCAAAGGACACGTTTGGACCTTGGTCTCATTTTTTTGTGATTATTATTTAAATATATGTTAAGCAGACAATAGAATAAGTTAGCCTTGTTATGTAATTGAATATGAGAATGGCATCTGGTTGCACATCTAGGTGGTCTTATCCAGATGTTATCATTTTTTTGCAATATCCGGAATAAGCGCAATAATTACGAAAATTATCTAAAAGAGAGGAATTATAATTATCCTCCTATTTACATACACTATATTGAATTATTTATCCAAAAAAATCTATGGATATTCTTCAATTATCAATAGGAATAAAACTGTTGGGAAAAGACAGTCGAAAACAAGTGGCCTTCCTTAAAGACAAAATGACGAGCTAAATGAGAATGTTCAATAATCAGGATGCATTCGCGTTACAATGAACTAGCTGTATTACGAATGTATAATAAGCTTTTAGATTTATAATACACAAAGTATAGATTCTATATTATCATGAATATTATATCGCGTAATGAATTTTTGTATAGAAGGCACTCGGTCCCCTTTACGACAGAACTCTGTGTGTTATAAGCGTGTGGATACGCTTATTTCGTATGTTGATGTTCTCGGAGAGTGTAATTTTGCCATGACGACGAGCGCAGAAATGAAGAACTTTCAGCGCAGAGCTTGTAAAAGGCGATCTTACGCATTTGCGCGTCAAACTAGAATTAGTTTTCTAATTCTTTGGGGCATTGGATGTCAATGGATCTTTGTATGAGCTATCGTCTATGGAATAACGCGAACTCCGATCGTGTTTTAGTCGCTCTTTCGTTGCGCGAAATGCAGAAGACGCGACTAAAACGAATGGATTTCACGGGTTAATTGCACGATCAGCTCATCGATATCACTTCAACATCGTCGGCCACGTTCTCGCGGCGAAATACTCGGCGCGTAAGGGTCGAGGATCGTTGTGCCTTCGTGTATGCACGTTAAAGTACGTTTTATGATTGTAAGAAGAGCAGACATCCACACTTTGTGATTCCATAAACAGTTGTTCATTTTTTTTATACTTTCTTTAATGCTTACCTAGGATAGCTTGTATACCTTAAAGAGTGTTTCAATAAAAATCACAATGAAATAATTTGCTACTCGCATTTTTCTTCGATCCAGTTTTACCTGTCCTCTCGCAAAAAAAAAAAATATTCCATTATATATATATTTCTTTTAATAATCTTATGATCTTTTCGTTAAATTATATTTATATGACTTTTATATGTATATTCTTAATATGTATCTCGATAATAATATCTCTTTTTTTCGATATAAATTATTTTACTTGGAATAGAGAAAATTCGGAATTTTGTAAAAAAATTTGAAAGAGAAAGCTCGAAATAAATTCTTCGATCAAATTATCAACAGCAAATCGTATATGAAATAAATAGTAGAACTATCTGTTGAAAATATACTGTCGCATAAAAATCGCTCGGATCGAAATCCAATTTACTTTATTGGTATATCACAGGTAGGGTTTTATACAAGGGGGACGAAACAGCGGATAACATGATTTATTACTTTTTTTTGTATTCAAGGTTCTCGAATTAATGTTACAAGGAATAGTATAATCAAAGATAATGAATGAAAAGCGATGAAATTAAAGACAAATATTACACCTCTTTCGTTATTGGTCGCATTATCTCATCTTCGAATGATTGATTTTTTCGCAGTTACCATCTTTTATTTCTTTTCTTTTTTTTCTTTTTTTTTGTTAATAATTTGTACTTCTCTTGGCGCGATCTCTTGGCTCTCTAGCTTCCAAGGAACCAGTCGATTGCTTTCCAACGTCGACAGATTTGCGAGGTTTATTATACTTTATCGTATAACGATAATGATATTTAGAAACGATGCCGCTTGATTCTCAAATTTAAAAAAAAATCTCGTCCGCGGGAGATCACGTTTATTAAACTTTAAAATCAATGTAGTTTTGCATGTCTGTAATAAACCAAATAAATGCTGGCAGACATTCTTCTCAAGTTATAAAAATATTATTTGTTCAACGTATTAACGAACTAAAGTTCTCTTTTAGGTAAAAAAAAAATGGGGAAGAATTGGTCATAAACGTCGATCTCCCACTCTCGTTGACGAATACATACTAATTAATAATTTACGTATATAAATAAAAATAACAGAAACGCATAAATCAAACCGCATCGTTGCGATAACGACGGCAAACAATCGTTTGCCCTCGCTGTGTATTTCACTTAATAAAATCTTATTGATTAAAATAACGAAATACTAGTCATAATAACTTTTCTAATTAACGATTATTTGGTAATATACAAAATAGTAGAAAAGAGGGAAAAGCAAGTCCGTTTCCTATCTCGTAGATTTTTTCTTTCGTAAATACAAAAACGTAACGCGTAGTATCTAAAGTATTGTATGTGTTCCAGGACGTCAGAGATGTTCTGATCGCGCGGAAAAGTCCTTTGGGTTGAACATAATTCTTTGCAAATCAATTGCGGATAGTTTCCAATGATTTAGCGAGTATTTCCAGTTATGAGAATGAGAAATAAGCGACGTGTTAGTTTTGCTATGAGAAAAAAATCGAAATTTTTATCGACTGCCTGTCGTGTGTAGTGCATGCTTAAAAACGACACGCTTTCCTGAAAATTTCGAGCAAGAAAAAAACGAAACTACATCGGAAACTTGTCCGCGCGATCGTTGCCGCCGCATCGTGGGACTCATCTTTTTTTTAATCGTATATATGCGTACCGCTGTAATATTCCTTCTTCTTTATGTAATGTATCGTTATAATGTCCGTGTAACAATAAAAAGCAATATGCAAATGGTATTGAAGACTTTTTTCTCGTTCGGAGGTGGCTGCTTGTGTTAGCGCGTTCCGTGCATTCGCGCAGAGGAATTCCATTAGCTCTAAGACACTTCGCTCTTTTACATATCTCTATCTAACGCATTTTCACATTCTTCCATTTTCTTTCTCTCTTTCTCTCCCTCTCTCTCTTCATTCACTCGCTCTCTTTTGCCCGACTAAAGTAATCTCGCTATCAACAATACTATTAATGCGCCGCAACATCTCATTTTTTAAATGATCCAAAATTTTACCGTTTTTTTCCATTTTAATTTACAATCTGTTTTTGCTTTTATAATTAATTAGAGAGTACAAGTTAACACTAATATATTTCAATTATAGAAATAATTATTTCCTTCTATAATGAGATTTCTTAAATGATTAGATTGTTTTTTAAATTATAATTACTATTGATTTTATTGTGCATGTATATATATTTATTGCGGCACATTTGCATAGTAAGCAATTCACAGACAGACATACGCGAGATTCTTTGATGGTCTGCAAAAGTAACAAAGTCGTGTTTCTGCTCTAATCTCTTAAATATAATTTCGAATCAAAGTAATCGGCGCGTTTGCGCGCACAATAATCGTCTTTGTTCGTATTCATTTTTCTTTCTAGAATAATTATGCGTGGTAAGATTACCGATCGATAGAAATTGCAGATAAGAGCCGAATAAATATCGCTTCGCGCGTGTTTTCTCGTAAGAAGTCTTATGATACAGGGTGTCGCCGAACCATCCTTTCAATCACAGCTTTTTTGGCCAATTTCGATTCCATAGGATTTTTCTTTGGCCAAAATATCGTAAGAGCTTATTTTTATACTTTCCAATAATTTTCTAATCTTTAATGATATATCGAATTAAATTGGTAGATTAAATAAAATAAATTTTTGTTGCTAATTATCTTCCGAAATTTATTTAACGAAAAACTTTTCATTTTCAATTGCTAATAATTTCTAAGTTTTTTAAATTTCTCTTTTGAGAAAATATCGATTCCAAGGAGGAGCATGCCTTGGTTTATGGGACGCCCTGTATAATATTAACGATTTCCTCCGTGGTTTCGAGTTCCCGGTTCGAGCTCTCGAACGCCTTTTAGTCGCCTTAGCACGAAACCTCCGCTTTTTCCAGCCGCTTCCGATATCTCCCTTCTATTTCTCGTACGTCAGTAATCATAGTTCTTAATGCTATCCGCCGACCCGAACGAATTATGCGGATCGTCCCCGTCATCGGCACAAATATTAACGAGCATTTCTCCAAGATTCGCTCGAGTCGCCGCGATGCAATCGGCGTTCTTATTATTTTACGGAGCTTAATCGACAAAAATCTCTCTCTCACACTCTCTCACTCGCAAAAATCGACGCACTCTCTTTCTCAATTTATTTTTCCCCTCCCGACACTCTGTAATGATTACCTAGAGTTTTTCTATCGCTTTTCCGATTATTTCTAGCGTCATGACCCTCCAGGCTTTTTGATATCTCCGTTTATAGTCCTTTTTAATTCCACGTATTATTTTTAGATAGCTAAAATATTGACCGATGATCGACACAAGATTATTTATTCCTTGGGGTACTCGTGCTTTTGATTCTTAAAGACAAGCATAAGGGGGGAAAGCAGAAATATAATAAGATAATTAAAAACTATTTAAAATCTTCACTAATTATTCTTCGTTATTCTCTAATTTTTTTCTCTCGCGCATAGACTTTTTTTCAATAAAATTTATATGTGTGTAATTATATTACACGCGTTTCTCCGCACGATAAGATAATTAAATTTTTTATATCGATATTAGATACTGATAAATGAGCGAGTATTGCGTATCTGCGTTCTCTGAAAAAAAATTCATTATAGATCAAATTCTTGCATGTTTTTGTATACTTGCACCGAGTACATATATTTGTCAAGATAATCGCAATATTATTACTCGCTCATTACATATATATATATATATATATATATACAATATATATATATATATATATATATATATTTAAATAAATAACGCGAATAAAAAGTGAGCTATATCCTCACGCGCGAAAACATTTTGCCGAACATTCGTTTTTTTCCCCGCGTTACATTATTATTCCCGCATTTCGATTCTTGACACAGAACCGATTAACGATTTTGTATTCATAGTCGTAATAAATTATACGATTTGTACGATCTCTTCGCGCGCGATTCTAGTATCTAGGATACGGAGAGCCTCTCGGCAATATTCGATCGCGCTATTTGTACATATGTATATATATATTTTTATTTTTTCATTTTAATCCAATCCTAATCAAATATAATTACGCGTGAAGCGAAGTTATATTGTTCCTTGATAATAGAATCACAAAAATTGCAACGCATGCGTAAAAAGTATTATTGCAATACGTGTATAAAAATATATTAATTAATTATGCAATGCATAAAAATTCAATATTTAAATTTTAAAAAGTGAACCAAACAATAGAATTTTGTACAAGAATCTTTCGATCAAAATATCTGTGCTTCTCCATTAGATTCGTGCGTCCGCCGCGTGGCGCGTTTCGCGCGTCTGCCGCGCTGCGCGTTTCGCGCCAGACTGATCACGTGGTCATCAGTCTCGCAATCGCGATGTCTCGAACGAGAATCAGTCTCGCGCGAGGCGCGCAGCGTGATGGACGTGTGGGGTGTACTAACCTAATTAAATGTATTTTGATCAAATTTTTGTAGAAAATTCTATATATATATATATATATATATTTCTTGTTTGCGTTTTCCGATTAAAGATTTAAATAATTTAATTTTATGCATTGCATAATTAATATATTTTTTATGCATGATTACAATAATAATTTTTATGCATGCGTTGCAATTTTTAAAATTTTATTATCAAAGAATAATATAACTTTGCTTCACAAGCGTAATTATACTTGGTTAGATTAAACGAAATGAGAAATATGTATATATACATATATATGTATGTATACATATACGCGTTTTTATCTTACACGCTATTTAATATATTGATACTTGCACGATGCAAATTCACATATTTGCAAAATAATATTAATATTAATTAAATCGCGTAAATCTGCGTAAAGATAATCATAATTACATACATATAATTAAATTATAGAAATACATCACAGAGAATTATATTTTTCTCCTCTCCCCGTTTATATTATATCGATTCCGTTCTCAGGATCTTCTAGAATAAATGCCAGTCAGCCAAAACTCGTTAACTCTCGCACACTCATAATCTCGCATCGTCTCCGGTCCCGAATAATCCTTTTATCGGGACGTTCGATCTGCA